CCTTGGAATCAAAGTCTGCAGATATCAGCATTTGATTGGTGGAGCGTGGCGTTTGGCCGTGCATGCCTAGTTGCAATTCAATGCTTCTCTATGAAAATCAATGGATTGGAAGAGATTGCAAGTAATGTTAGCTTGGAAGCTGACATTGCCAGAGGAGGGAGACCCAGAGCTGGAAAGGAGGTGATTTAGGCCCCCACCAGGAAAGTAAAAGGTGAGTTTACCTTTCTTCCAGCAACATGCTGGTACGTCGTGGCAGGCAACACCCACGCTCTGCCTAATGACTGAGATCATCAAAATTGAATATAGGAAAGCATTGGGAGGCTATTGTGCGGGAAAGCGCTGTGCTGCACCAATCAGTATCTCCTCATATAGATGCATTGAATCAATGCATCTCTAAGAAAACTTCAGTGCTTCCATGGAGAGCGTGGAGATGCTAAACGTCAGTGCTGCACATTTTGCAGCACCTCTAGAGGCCGTCTGAGTGACTGTCACTAGAGGTGTCCCTAGGTAGTAATGTAATGTTTTTCTAAAAAGACAGCGTTTACATTAAAAAGACTGCAGGGACAGGCAATAGACACCAGAACAACTACATGAATCCGTTGTTGTTCTGGTGACTATGCTGTCCCTGTAAAGACACTCAAATGGACTTCTCTGTATTATCTTGGCACAGACTTACCAAAATGTTGTCTTCCTCTGGTCTAGGTTTGCTGAATCTCTAGTGCACAGAAAACTTGAATGTCATTTGGTGGTATTGGCCTGGTATACTGATTTTTTTTACTCTGTAATGGCACATGTGAACAAACACATATGTGTGACTTCCAGAGTGGTAGCTATTGTTTGTCTTTTTTTCAATAAGGGTCCTAACACTTTATTTTTACGTTACATATAGTTACATAGCTGAAAAGAGACTTGCGTCCATCAAGTTCAACCTTCCTCACATATGTTTTTGCTGTTGATCCAAAAGAAGGAAAAAAAAACCTAGTTTGTAGCGCTTCCAATTTTGCAGCTATTACGCTACTAATTAGAAATTATATCCCTGTATGTTATGTTTTAGTTATCTACACATTTTCATAGATTGCAAGCTTGTTTGCAAGAGTCCTTCTCATTTATTCTAACAACTTTATTTTGTGTTGCAGTTACTTGTTGTTATATCTACGCATGCACAACTGTAAAACTCTGCGGAATATACTGTGCCATATAAATGCAAATAATAATAATAATAACTATGATGTTCTTAAATAGAAAATAATAATCCAGAAGTGAACTTCGAGAGGAATTGATATATCTATTTTGGAGAGGGTTCATGCTTGATATTTCCAAAGTGACATGCCTTATGATATGCTAACGGAGCAAGTTCTGTTTGTTAATTACATAGATGAACTAAAACTCATTAGGGACCTCCTGAGTGGGCAGGTACTCATGGGCTAATCATTAAGCTATTGTCCATACTCAGCAAGTGTCCCCTAGATTTTGTTTTGGATTTAAACATGCAAAGCTCATATAAGTTGTTCATCAATAAAAACACCGTAAGACTGTTCTTTGACCCCATCCCCCACAGCAATTATACCCGTTAATGTGTGCTGTGTATCACAGAGCTCCACAGTAATAAAACTCACAGCAATGTGTATTTATCTACAGTAAAAGGCATTGCAACCTTGTTCTGAATTACTTCAGTTAAACAAATAGTTACAAATGACTCATAAAGTCACCTTGTATTGGTTTGGAGGGTGCTACTCTAATGTGCAGCTACAGATCTATGACCTTTACTAGCCTTTTTAGTATTACCATTTTTACATGACGCTATCATTTTTGCATGATTGATTTGTTAAACCTGTATGCAGCTTGGGAGAGTAATACACGGAATACAGGAGCTGTGTAATGATTTCTGACACATATTCCCAATGAACCATAAAGACACTCTGATGCTGCAGGATGGGGGAAGATTGGCTGCAGATTTATAGGTCTATCCTAGCCCCACCTACTGGGAGAATACATGAAATAAAATACAAATGTACATCCAAATCTGTGCCGGACATTCTATTATATATGTACTTACATTAGACACATTTTTTTTTTTTTTTAAAGCTTTCTGTTAGGACTGACAAGTTGATGGCTTATGTGTATTCTTACTAGATATGACAAATAAGCCAATGTTGTGACGACCACAGTGCAACAGGGCCTGAACAGTGTGTTGAAGGTGGACAACAACATATAGCTGTCACGTGTTAATTATTTGTACCTCAAACTGCTGGGCAGACGGTTGGAGATTAAAAGGGGGGGGAACCAGAGAGAGGTCTCCCTTATTTCTGTTTTGTTAGAACCCCAGCCAATTGCCCTTCAGCCACTAACTGCTCACTGTAGATATTCCCCACCCAAAGCACACTTTAAGTTATTTTATGACTGCTGGCTTGCAAGAGCTGGCTGTCCAGCAACCATATATTTAACCCTTGAATTGCAACAGAGTTCTCAACAATTTGCCCTCTGGCTGCTAGAACTGCCAGTAGACAAATAGTTCAGATTTTTAAAAATTTTGTTTAAGATATTTATAATTTGATTTTGGACTTCAGCCTGGTTGCTTCCAGGCAGGTTGAAATCTGGGGGACATTCAAGTCCATTGGATGATGCCTTGCAAAATTTAGACATTGATAAATATTGTGAATATTGTGTGGAATATTGATGAAAAACAAAATAGGCAACCTGGAAAACGTAGCATGGTAGCAACTCTTGCATAATTAAAAAAAACAAAACAAATTTAAAGCGCACCTTCTACATCATCTTTATGACAACCGCAATTGCATAGTATATGCATCCAGCGTATGCACAATTCACATGTCGGTAAGTAGACAAATACATTTACGCATACTAGTTAGGGAACACTCAGCAAAGGTTTACAGCACCTCATACACACTCAAACATAGAGGTTAGCGTAGATACGGTTAGAAATTAGTGTTGGTATCAGGAAGTGTGGGGTAGTTTGGAGTGGACAGAGGAATGGAATCATCAAGCACTGGTACTATGGTGGTAAGAGGGAGGAGAAGCAGAGGCAGGCCAGGGTACTCATTTTAATAAACCTGCTTTAACTTGCTTATTCTGAATAGCTCCACACAGATTTGCTTCGTATTCCATTCATCATGATATGACTGATTTTAGCAGTGAAAGACGGTCAATAATAACACCATGTTGAAGGAATAGGTAAAATGAGAGAAAATACATAATGTAATTTAGGCCAAGTTTGTTAAAATTATACAGGTGGTCCAGTGCAAGTAGCAGTAGAAAAAAATTTAAATTATTACTAGGGTGGAGTGACCGTTAGATTTAGTTACAATTAAATAGTTTGATTTGATTATTATTATTATTATTTATAGAGCACCAACTAATTCCGCAGCGCTTTATAATATTATGAAAGGGGGGAGGGAGGGGGATGGGGTAGTTTACAATAAATTAGACAATTACACAGTGACACAGGAACAATAGGTAGATGAGGACCCTGCTCAAATGAGACAGTCTAGAGGAGGTGGGGTACAAATACACAACAGGGCAGCAAGAGTGAGAGCCACCAATCAAAGTGGAATAGTAGCATAACTGGAGGTGAGAGTTGTGTGTGGCTGTTTAGAAAAGCAAGAGTCAGATATGGATAGGTATAGATAAGTTACTGCGCGAGTCCATAAGCATTTATGAACAGATGTGTTTTGAGGGACTTTTGAACCCCTTAAGGACCAAACTTCTGGAATAAAATCTCCATTTACTAACTCTAAATCTAGTATGGCCTCTTTACGAGTTGGCTCCTCAACGACTTGTTTTAGAGACAATCCCAGTAGGGAGTTTAGAATATGTGTGCTCCTGGCACAAGCAGCTATTTTTGTTTTCCAGTTCACATCAGGAAGATTAAAGTCACCCATGATGATAACTTCCCCCTTCATTGTCATTTTAGCTATTTCCTCAACTAGTAGATTATCTAACTCTTCAATTTGTCCTGGGGGCCTATAAATCACACCTACACAAGTTACTGTGTGATTACCAAATTCTAACGTAACCCAAACGGACTATGTTCGCCTCACTAACTTTTATGCTATCCTTCACATACAGGGCCACCCCTCCCCCTTCCTTGCCTTCCCTGTCTTTTCTATATAAAGAGTACCCTGGTATTGCTATGTCCCAGTCATTTTTCTCATTATACCATGTCTCAGTAACAGCGACTAAATCTATCAGTTGCCATTATTGCCACAAGTTCATGGATCTTATTCCTTAAACTGCGAGCATTTGTAGACATGACTCTAAGCTTATAATTTTTTTAACACACTTGCTACAGGCACCTTCTGTCCTTGTTTTGGGGGACAATTGGATTGATGTTTTATCACGCTTTTGCCCCCCCCTCCTAGTTTAAATACATACTAGCAAAACCTCTGAACTGCTCACTGAGAACATTTGCAAACCATCTTTTTTGTACAGGTTATTTCCATTCCAAACAGAGCTACCATGAGAAATAAAGCCAAATCCTTGCTCCCGACACCATTCACCAAGCCACAACTTAAAGTCCATAATACGCATCCGCCTGTCGTTCTGAGCGTTATGCACAGGCAGAACTTCAGAGAATGACAGTGTGGAAGCAACCTGCCGTATATCATTGGCAAAAACACTAAAAACTTCCTTAACCTCTAAAACCTCATTGCAAGCCAAGTCATTTGTCCCTAGATGGACAAGTACATCCAATTCCCCTTCCTGCTTTGCTTGCTTAACAATATTACAGATACGTCTCCTGTTTCTGTGAGCAGTAGCTCCGGGACCATTGTCCATCTCCACACCTCTTATGATGAAATCCCCCAACAACAACTGCTTTCTATTAGGCCTCACCATTGTCTCCAAGCCTCTCTCCACAACACCACTAGCCTCAGTGCCTCTCTCCACAACACCATTACACTCTGAAAGTGCAGAAAATGAATTATGTAGAGCAACAGACTGTGCAAAATGCCTTTTATCTACAACTCTAAGTCTACCAGATCCTACAGTAATCCATCTGCGGCAGTGGCTTTGCATTTAACAAGCTGGTGGTCATAATCTAGTAAGTATTGCTCTCTGGCTGGTATGTACGTAGATAGACATTCCTTACCTTTTTTGAATTTGCTTTGTGTTGCTTTGCTCTTTAAGGATTTTGTGGTTTCAAAAGCTCTTCTTACATCTGCCACTGAAAGGGTCTTCTCTTCTTCCTGGTTGGTGTTCACTAGGGCAGATAGATTTACTTGAGATTTTAATCCCTCCAAGCAGACCCTTTTGTCACTCTCTGCACAATGATCTGTAGGTGGGACTGCTATAGTTTCTGATATAGTCTCAAGAGGTTTTGCTTCCCATATTGTCTCCTCCTCATTAACTCCACCAGAACTGACATCCTTCCTCAGAAATCCTGCAGAATGATCTCTGTCTTTACTGTTTTCTGCATGAATTACACTTTCTAACTTTTGGTGAGACACAAATACGATTTCACCAACATGTTCCATATTGCTGTTCTCAGTTTCTCTGGTTTGCCCATTTCTCAAGCAAGTACCTTCTCCTTTGAGGCCACCAAACAGTGTCAATTGCTCACTTGCACATGCTGTAGCATCCTGGTGTACCCTACTTACCGTTTCCTTTTCCATTTTGATCAAGCCTTCGGTACCTTGAAAATTACCTAATTCCCCCTGCAACTTCATTTTAATCACTTGTCTGTTTTCCACACTGGTTTCTGAAACAGAGCGCTCCAACCTCCTAATATTTCCTTGGAGATAGGAGATTAGGTTTTCGCTGACAGCCCTTCTATAAAGTTTTATTTTCCTCAGTCTTCTACCTTCTATACCAACCTCCTCTACCTCTGTGTTGAGTTTCAAAGACGCCATCGAATTCCCAGGCAGTGTATCTTTTACAAGGTCATCAATTCCACTCCATCTCTTGGACTCATCTTCCTCCATCCTGTATAGGATTACATTGTTGCTCTTTTTATCCACTTTCTTAAGCACCTTCTCCAAACACACATTTTCACATATGGATGCATCTATAACATCTCCCAATTCTTTATTTTTCACATCCACTTTCTGTATCCTTCCTTGGGTGAAATCTTGGCTTGGTGCATTCAGCAGCCAATTGCTTTTTGCAGAAACTCCTTCCATATTCGACATAACACAATCCTTCTTGCTATCATCCGACCCCCAAACAGTCTCTGTTACACCCATATTATTTCTGTCTGACTGCTTTAAATTCTCTTGATGTTGTGAGATCATTACCTTCTTGGAAAGAGACATGACTGTATTTTCTCTATATCTCCCACGGGCATGAGAGATGTTACCTTCCCATAATTCACTATCCGAAGGTTTGGAAAGCAAGGTAGAGGTATGGTAATCTTGCTTGTGAAACCCTTCTTCATATTCCCTGGTTCCTGTGGCATGGTTATCTCTAACATCCACCTCCAGCATTTGTATGGGTATCTCTGTATTCTGTGCTGATCTGTTGAATTTTTTATCAGGGTCTGTTTCGGAATATTCTATATAAATTGGGTCCATGATGGCGATGTAATTGCTACCTGTGCGAAATAAAGAACTTTCCCAGAACCAGCATATTTCATTCTTCTCTTCTTGCAATGAACACCTCTCTGTCTTCGTTCCTTGCAGAACTCTGCATCTTGTTATTTATTCATGTTCCTATGCAACTAGAAGAAATTAGAAGCTCCCGCGTCCAAAGAAGGTGAGTAGTAATCGCAACCTACTTAGAAATATTTTAAATATTCAAAAAAAGAAAAATCTTCAGTTTTTGAAACCTCTGAAAAACACTTAATAAAAAAAATACATGGTCATAAAAGTTTCTTTACAGCATTCCTCAGAAAATACAGTATCCAGTCCTAGTGATATGAAAACACAGCCGTCTCTAGCTAGAGCGATCCGTAAGACCAACTTGCTTAAATGAATTATGAGCTATAAAACTATTCATGAGATAAACAGAGAGAAGTGACAGGCGTAGCTGGGATACCCAATACTGTTTCTGGGAGAAAAAGGAGAACAATGTCAAAAATTGCCTCAAGGTGGTTGTAATGTGTGCTGCTTGACGTGCAGGCACTGAAAAAGTTAAATATTCTTATACTATCCAAAGCTTATTTTTTTTCTGCCGAATGCCACCTTTTCAGCAGTTCAACCAACTTCAAGAATTTAGCTTGCTCCTCTTTTTGTGATACATATTTCCCAAATAATTATGTGTATACAATTAGCACTGGACTGTTGGGGCATTCCAGTTCAAAGGCAGGTCCTTACTCTTTAAAGAGACACTGTAATGCTTAATTTCATTGATGAGTTTATAGTGTCTGGAGTTCCTTGGTACAGTCTTTCCATTTAGCATTCAACGATTTTTAAAGCTAAACATTAAAGGACCACTATAGTGCCAGGAAAACATACTCGTTTTCCTGGCACTATAGTGCCCTGAGGGTGCCCCCACCCTCAGGGACCCCCTCCCGCCCGGCTCTGGAAAGGGGTTTAAACGTACCTTTTTCCAGCGCTGGGTGGAGAGCTCTCCTCCTTCTCTCCTCCTCCGTTCCGCCCCGTCGGCTAGCTGCCCCGTCGGCTACAATGCTTTCCTATGGACGCTGGCGTGCTCTCACTGTGAAAATCACAGTGAGAAGCACGCAAGCGCCTCTAGTGGCTGTCAATGAGACAGCCACTAGAGGATTAGGGGGAAGGCTTAACCCATTAATAAACATAGCAGTTTCTCTGAAACTGCTATGTTTATTAAAAAATGGGTTAACCCTAGCTGGACCTGGCACCCAGACCACTTCATTAAGCTGAAGTGGTCTGGGTGCCTAGAGTGGTCCTTTAACCCCTTAAGGACACATGACATGTCATGAGTCCCTTTTATTCCAGAAGTTTGGTCCTTAAGGGGTTAAATATAATTAGAAATCAGAATGTAATGATGACCCACATCTAAGACCACGGGTGGATGGGAGGGGTTGTACTGTGAACAGGTCCATTTCTGTATGGAAACATGAACGATTCATATAAAACAGTTTTACCTCTTACAATAGTGGTGGGGGCACCAGGCACTCCTGGCACCATAGCCACTACTACACGCACTATGCAACCAACACTGAATATAAACAGTGTTGGTAGATAAGAGGTTAACATTGCCTTATTAAACACTGTAGTATGAGAACACAAAACTCATATTTTCTTTAACATATTAATTGTTGACCTTACATGGACACTATAGTCCTTTATGTAATGGTTCTGGTGTCTATAGCCTGTGCCTGCAGTCTTTTCAATACAAATGCTGCCTTTTCAGAGAATGTATATACTTCAATAAACTGAAAAAGGCTTCACAGAGCTTGCACAAGTCATGGAAAAATAATCACACATGGGATCAAATCTCTACCTCTACAAGGAATTGCTTCTGCAAACTGTATATAATTATCAGACACATGAACATCTCTGTAATTGATAACATGATGTCAGATAGGATCACATTCATATCAAAGGGACCTAATATCTAGCTGGTCAGAAGGGGTTATTGAAGAGGAACCAGTAAAATCTCTGACAGTGTTTTTGGCCAAGGTAAATATTGACAATTAATCTCCAAAGCTTGCGGTGTTCCCTCTGTATTGAAATGGGAGCGTGTTAAACATAGAACAAATCCCTCTCCTTAAATGGACAACTAAAGCAAGCCTTTTTCATTGCCTACAGTAAATGATTTTTGGACGCAAGCTGCCAGCTCTAAAGATTAAATTTGAGCTGAATGCATGTGGGCAAATACTAAACATTGCACACAAAGCTGTGCTAATAAATTTTTAAAAGTCTATTTTCTAAGAGGGTTTGAGCGCCTTGATGGCTTTTACATTGTCCTGTGACAATCCTTTTGTAAGTATTAGTCAAAGCAAGAAAAAATAAATAAATGGAGTAATGCGCAGCTGGTATTTAAAGTGCACACCCGGGTGCTACCATATTTATTGGAAGGACAAAATATAAGTTGCTACCAATTGCCCTTTATCCTGTTAGAACTTGAAGAGCATGATCACCCTCCTCATGCAAATAATACATTTACCTACTATACAAATATGTAACAAACAATGATTGAATTGACTATAAATCTCTACTTGATAAGAGCGTAAAAGTTGGGAATTTTCCACATCAGATATTTAGGCATAAATTGTGCAATATGGGGGGGACCGGGCCGCCATGCTGGCAAGCCGCGCAAAACAAAGGCTCCTGCAATTTTTCCCAGTTTTCACAAAACAAAAAACAGAGATCATATCCCTACCAAACGACTGACAACGGCAGCCCTGTGTAAGAAGCCACCCTGGTACCGAGGAGAGCCCTCCGTCTCTCAAGATGGAGAGCGCTCGGGCAGTGAGTGGAGTGGACGGCCGCAACCCTGCTATCCTGCCCACCAGCGGTCTGAGCACGGCGCGGGGCTGTGGGGTCCGGCCCTGTTCCCATCTATGGACCGACGGGGGTGATCCTGTTCCCCACCCTGGGCCCACCAGCATGCAGAACCACCAACACGCCATGACAGAGCAGACCCAACACTCGGAGGCCGCACCAAAATGACGGAGACCGCATGCAGGGCGACCCCAGCAAAAAGGAATAAAGACGCACCCGCCACACATTAATAGACAGCCGACACAGGCCATGAGGTCACCGTTGAACACCTGCTGTGACCTACCCTGGGTTCAACCACACGGTGGAGGAGCAGACGGAACCACGCTGACCCAATGCTAGCAGCAGCGCATATAACCAGCAGGGGCCGGCACCAACGACCGACCAGCCCAGCTCATTTAAAAGTGTTTGCAGGAGAAGTCCCAGCAATGAGAGAAGGTGCCCCAGCAACGAAACCCTGTAAGCAGTGCCTCTCAGATCAACGCGGGGACACATGGCCCAACAGCTCACAGCCGCAAGGTCAAACCTGACAACCAACATGGCTGCAAGGTCCACACTCCCACCAGAGGCAGGCACAGGACAAAAATCGCAATTAGACCACATGGGGTCTGTCACTCTGCCACCTGTCTGGACTGTGGCTTACATGGTAGAACCCTTGCTTTCATCCCCCTGCTGCCTTCAAACTGCATGGGCAGATCCCATGGCACGAAACCATGGACTTTCGTCTTGCTGCTGGGGGGGGTTAACCTGGGGTGAAAAAACCCATGCATATCTGAAGCTCTCATATATCGCAATTTTAAGTAAATAAGCTTGGTCCTCTGCTGTACTGTGACTAGCCTTAATGTTAACGATAACCAATACCCTAGAGGACACAACCTGAACGTTATTGTATGACTTAATTGCAATAGCATGTATGCATCTCATGTTTAGATAACACAGCGATGAGATTTCATAATAGGAGAAAGTTTTAGCTATAAGAATCTTTATTGTCTATCACTTAAACTATACTTAAACATAAAAATTGTGCTAGATTTTTCATGTACCTTAATGTTCAACTGTTTATACTGCGTTGGAGGAATGCCTTTGGGGTACCTCACAAACATTTGTTATAAACTTAAGCACTGAAAAAATAAAGAATTAATAAATTGTGCAATTTGGTTTTCAATTTACTACAAATTTGAGTTTAGGGAATAAGTCCCATTATCTAAGTTTTTTTGTTTTCGTTTTAATGGAACAGTCAACAAGGTTCTTACCAGATGGATTTTGGATTTTCTTTTCCCCCCCAGTATGGTTAGAAGAGTTGGCTGCATATAGGAGTCTAGTTTGCTGTGAGGTTCTGAACACTAAATTGTATGTACATAAGCAGTTCTAAGATCTGGAAGGTATTAAAATTTTTAATAGCATTAGCAGCATTGACTTTGGTCTGCAAATGACCTGTTCACAGAGCACCCCAATTGTCCAGTACGTGCCTGGCTATAGGCTAGTTAGTAGCAACACTTGGGTGTGATTTACTCATTTTCAGTGGTTGTGAAATCCTACAAACCACAGGACATTTTTCTAAATTCTTTATTTAAAAAGACTTGAAAAACATGCACAAATCAAAGCATGCAAGCAGTAAATAAATAAATACAAAAATATCTAGCTACAGGGAGTATCTCACATATTTAAAAAAAATGGCCATCAATTTGTCTATTAAATTATTGTATTACATTTTTGTTACAGCCTAACAATACATATGCGCCAACCTGAAATCCTCAGATTGTAAACTTGTTTGAGCAGGTTCGTCTTCACCTCTAAATATCCCCTTTCTATAATTGTTAAATGAAACATGTTGGCGCTATATAAACGCGAACAATAATCCTCATCTAAAGAAATGTAGAGACAGCAAATCTACAATTTTCTTTTTGCTCATTTGTATATTTTACATGAATGACTAATTATTTACACACACAAAAACGTTACATTTATTTCCACATTAATTTTGACAAATTAGAATATGATTTGACACCAAGCCATATGCATCAACAGAAAATTATTAAAAGGGACATTATAGGCACCCAAACCACTAAAGCTCATTGAAGTGGTTTGGGTGCACAGTCCCACGTCCGCTAACCAATGCAAAGGTAATTATGCCAAGTAGCGGAGGTAGAGCCCAAACCAGTGCCGCTGGACTCAGGTAAGTGACAGAAAAGGTTTTTAACGCCTTCTGCACCACGTGGTGGAGGGGACACTAAAGGGAGCTATAGTGCCAGGAAAAAAAAACAAACTTTGTTTTCCTGGCAGTATAGTTCCCTTTAACCTCAAAGAATTTTAGTTGATCCAACATTGCTTCCATTGTAATAAAAAATATATGAACAATTAGATTTAGAAACCAACATGCCCTCCTTTAAGACTTCAAGTGTTTCTTATACATCTTCAGTACACGTCAGCTTACAGACATAATGGCACATTATTTCTAATACAAAATCTCATTCATATGTTGGTCTACGTTGCATGATATCATCTTATAAATGTCAGTGCAGGTCAGTCCAAAACCTGCATCTTGTTCATGAATATGTGTATGGTATGACTTACATTCTGTTATGCTTCAGCACACAGGTGACCACCCTTAAATTTTGCTTTAAAATTATGCAGAAAGCAGTGTTGAACTCTGATACTATCATCACTGTACAACACACAAAAAAAATCTTTATTGGAATGTAGTTCTTTTTTAACCAAAGAGTTTTCGAACATATCTAATTAAGTGATAAATGTAAATAATGGGAAGGTAAGCCAGCTACGGTAAACTTCATGCACCATAACCACTTAATTTAGGTGGTTATGGTGCTCAGAGTGTTAGTGTTCCTTCACAGGACTGGTGCAATAATGTCTGGCAACACAGGCGAATATGCAGTTTTTTGGAAGGAGGGAGTAAATTGACTCGCTAGAGATGAAAGGGAAATACAAGAGAATGCCTCCATTATGGCATTCTCCTCTCATTGACTTCAGTTGGAAAAAGAAGATTGGCCCAATATTGCCTTGTTCTTTGCCAATGTCACTGAGTGGGGAGGGGATGGGAGGGTAGAGCTACAGAACGTAAAAGGTCCATGAGACTGACATTCAAATATAAACTGGACAATTTTTGGGGAGCATTTTATTAACAATTAATACATAGATTTTGTACATTATAACTGGTTTATTGCATAACATTTGTATGTGAGGTGAATTTGAACCGACTGACAAATGTGCTACAAAAATATATATTAAAATAACAAGAACAATTCAAGTTTGAGTTTTTAATTTCTAATAAACAAAATATTTCAAACACAAATGATATTCTTTGTACAGAGAACAAATATACATATAGATTTTATTTACAAGGAATATACTGTATATAAGCAAATGCATATATCAACAATGGCAGACATTAAAAGTGCTTTATGCTTCTACTGTAAAAGGAGTGTAATAGCCCAATAGAGGTCTATACATATTGAAGCTGATGCCATACATAGCGTGATCTCACTACATGGAACACTCACCAGGAAATCGGTAACTGCAATAGGAGCACCATGAAGCCAGGGTCTCTATAAATGTCATCAGCAAAGCAATCTATAGACTTAAGATATGCAGAGATGTCACAGGGAAAGACCATTATTAAGCACAGAATACATCACACGCACTCATTTTAGGGAGTGCATATTGAGGTCTAGAACTCTTGAATATTACTTATATAGATATATATATATATATATATCTCAGGAATGCTGCAATAGTAAAGATATTTGAGCAGCAATTCATACTTCTGTATATTTTCTCATTTAAAAATGAACTTGTAAACGCCCTACTTAAATATAAAAAAAAAAAAACGAAACCTTATAATATAAATTCTAGTTTTCAACAAAGACTTATTCTTCGGTACTGGATTAGTATAGAAATATAGCTTCTGCTTTCTCTATTGTAGAAGCAACCAAACTGAAAGATCCTACTGTCTGTGGGGAACACGATCATCACAGTAGCCAATGGAAAAAGGAACTCTCTATGGCTGCAGAGCTACTTAAGGTGTTCTAACTTTTAAACCAGAGAATTAAAGGGGATGAAAAATAAGACAAACGGGAAAAAAAGTGTATTTTTCAAAATCCATTCTGGTTATTTCCCTCTCCTCATTCATGGTTCCATGTGAAATGTACTGGGCAAATGTCAATTATTATAGGATATCAGCAAAATGAATCTGAAGTACAGTCTCTGTTAAAATGTGTACCTGAAAACCCAACTACTGTTAGCCCACCCGTTCAGAGAGCATCACCAAGGGAAATGGCATGCAACTTACAAAGTGCATTCCATTTCTTCATTATAGAGGGCACTTTGGAAACACCCCATGGAGTCAGGACTGCCAGTGTAACAAGGCAAACCTCGATCATAAAAGGTTTTTTTTTTTAAATAAAATTTAAAATACATTTTTTTTTAAAACAAAGTTATTTTTCAAGTTTAATGACATCAACACAAACCATTAAACTACAGATCTATATGTCCCTTACTGCTAGAAGTAAATGAATAGACTTTGTTTAAAAAAAAAAACATTTTGAAATATAAGTATTTCATTTCTAGCTTATTTCCCTATTAACTATTCTATTCATAGCCACACAATTAATGGCCGTACAAAAATGTCCTGCAAGCACTATGGCAATACACATGAAAATAAGCATATGATGTAATAACAACATGGGTCATAGCTATGATCATTTACCATTCTCGTCAACTAGATTTCAGACAGCAAAAGTCATAAAAATATATATCTGATGTGCCACGTAATACCCGTGTAATAATCAGTTCTGCTCTCTTTTTCCTGAGCAATTGAATATCTACTATACAAGATCAAATAAATATGGCAGTAGGGATATTAAGGCTTTGTAATCGGCACAAAAATCTTTAGCAATGGCAGCCTCCATTATCCCAGCACTTAAACAATATTTTATTTAGTTACCATCAATTGAAAAGTATGGGTTCTGGCACAACTTATTTTACCAACTACTCATCAAGATTACCAAGGCACAAAAAACTCCTTCCAAGCCAGTTTCATCATTGTCGTCGTAATGAGTGCAAGAAAACAGTTTACTTCAATCGTAATTACAATGGTCATCAATATATCTTATACAGTCAATGTACTATGCATACTTTGGTCTAATATCTCTAAATATAAATATGGACTTGCAACGATAGAAAGCCAATGTACCCGCTAGTTACTCTTTAAATAAAAAACACAAAAACAAAATAGTATGGCTAATTAACATAAGAACATCTACAACTCACCCTCAGTGCATAGGTGGTTATGAGATTGAGTACTTATATTATATCATGAACATTATGGGATTCTGTACCATTACTGCATATTGTATTATACTACATAAATCCATATTAAAGTCAGCTGGAACAGATCTTATGGTAAAGCATCATTAACATTGCTGCATAACTAGCTAAATGTTACAAGTACATTACAATATTCACAATACTTACATCATAGGCTTCACAAGAGGACCACTCAAGCACTGCATAGAAAACAGATTCACATGGTTGATTTCAACAAGTCTTTTAATATTTGGCCTTTAGAATGTGCAACACATGCAAAATGAACACATAATATTTATAGCAAGCCACGAGAGTCATGCTAGTTATAGCAAAGAGAGAAGAAATGTGTAGAGCTGAACAGCACAAGATGTGCACAATTATAGCAATATAGTTTTGTATGTTAGGATTGTCACTGCCTATAGGAGGGAAAAACTATTCACAACATAGCTGTGACCTGTCATTAAGCAATCACTCTTTAGTATTTGGAAAGGTTTCATAAAAATACAATAAAGCCATACACCGAAAGCATACCCACAAACATCGTCCGTTAGGATTGCCTATTTTGTCTCTAATTGGTCCTATGGCTATTCTATAAATGTGTATTTTAAACATTGGAAATAGTCAGCCTTGCTTAAAAGGACAGTGCACTGCCCAAGGAGGCAAAAAATAAAATAAAGAAAACCATTGTTTAGTAGATATACACCTAATACATGCATGCATGCCTTTACTGGTAGTATATCCTAAACGAGCTTTCGAAGGCTGCAGGTCTTATGAACTTCAGCCTCAGCAAGCCATCCCCTTACTTCCCCAGAAGAGACTTTTAATCTCTTCACGGGTAAATAACCGAAGAGGTCTCATTGAGAAGCCTTTGAATTGGTATCCTTGTGCATCGTTGCGTGTGCGCATGCATGCACAGACACCTCATCTGAGGTCTGGAGTAGCTGGGTGAACTGGTCTGAGGTATGTGGGGGAGTAGGTAGTTGCGCTCAAGTTGCCTGCCACTGCAGTTAGCTAGGGGAGTTAATGGAAGGAGGCAGCAAACCATCCTGGCTGGCTGACAGCTAGGGAGGTGTTCCATAGTTAATATAGAAAGGTGCCAATTTCTCATAGGGGTTAAGCTAGGATACTCCCACCCATAAAGCACTGAAGTGTTTTTGAGTTGTGGAGTGGTCTTTTAAGAACACAATCACTGGTAGCATCATTTTTATAGTCTTGGGAAATGGAAAGTGGAACAAGAGCAATATGGTATTTTTATGTATTCAGTCAAAGCTTGTACTGGTCTGTAGTTTTATTCAAAAACAGTACGATAAGCAAAATGCAATGGAGGTAGGAGTAAAAAAAATCTGGATGTTTTACATGTCTGTACGAAATAAGCTTTTGTCACTACAAAACAATTCTGATTTTCAATAAGAAATTCAATCTTGCTGTACCTTATTTGGCAGTAACTGCAAAAAAAACAAAACCATAACATGACAAAAAAACAACAAAAAAAAAACAACAACAAATACACTATAAAGAGATGCAGATATAATATTGCTACACTGCATATGTAGTTAGAAAACCACTATTTTGCCTTAATAAAACCAGCATGATAATACCATAAAAATAACAATGACCAGATTAAAAAAAAAAAATCAACTAGTCTCTGAGATTGATTTATCAATTGAATCTATGATCTTGGAAGAAGGTGACTCTATGGTCCCAGAAGAAGATAAAGTATCTGTAAATACAGGACTATCTATTAATTTTGCACTCTTGCAATCCAATTTCTGACTGTTGTCTGTGTCACAGGATAAGTCATCGCTAGAAAAGTTGAGACTTCCTAGTTTTGCAAGAGAGTGTGATCGCTTCAGAGGGGAAGAAAGTGTCAACCCAGCTAAACGCATCCTTGTTTCTATTTCTTGTGTCCTTTGCTTCACCAGTCCTGGCTTGCCACGTACACTGTGGATACTGTCACTACTTGAGCTTCGAGTAAGGTTAGAGCTCATTGAGGAGGAAGTTGGTGTGTAGCATATAGTCTTTAGGAAATCTTTTGTGTAACTACTGATCAGATCCATCTTGAAAAAACATGGAGTAGACGTCTTCTGTAATGTTCCATCTATAACACCTATATCTTCCTTTCCGTCCATAGCTTCCTCAGGTAGTTCTTGGTGGGTTTTCAGATCTTTGTGATCAACTGATATAGCGGAATTAGATTTATCTGCAAGACCTTCGTTTATGAATGAGCCTTCACTCTTAAGACGTTCCAGCTCTTTGGTATGTTTTCTAACCAAGCCAGCTTTTTGGAGCTGAATGATAGATTCTTGGTGCTGCATTAAGTAACTATGCATTGTCGGTTTTTCCAGATCTTTGCTGAAAAATAAGTATTTTGGGTCTCTCTGCTGTTTTGGATCACTCTTGAGAAAGGAAGTTTGGCTAAAACAGGATTCAAACTGTTCAATTCGGGCTTGTGGCTTTTCTGATTCGCTGGAATGCTTGTCAGTGGCTTTTGCAGAAAAGTCGATTGTGTCCTTTTTAAAATGTGCAGGACACGATGGTGTGATGTCTTTGCCCAGTGGGCGTCTATGCATCCTGTCCAAAACAGCTGAAGTCATGTGTTGTAACAGTGCAGGCTGACTGCAAATAGTGGGAGAATCTGAGGCCTCTTTAAATTCTATATTCTGTTGTTCTTCATATGCCTCGGAGGAGATGGGAGTTGATGGGTACATACAGTCAGTACATGATGGGTATGGAGGTTTCACCTTGTTTAGAATTCCAAAAATAGCATCATCCTACAAAACCAAGGAAAGAGATCAGAAGTAGATATGAAAGAAAAAACATACTGGCAAATACAGTTAAATCATATGATGCTAAACAATTTTTGTAATTGTTTCAACGTAAAATTGTATCAAATTGTATCAAGATTAGTTTCCCAACCCTACATTAAAGGAACACAAATGTATATTCTTGACCCTATAGTGTTAAAACCACCATTTCTTAAAAGGTAAGAAAAAGTACCTTATTTCCATGTGCCAGTACTTGCCACGCCTCCAATCTGCTTCTTTGGGTATGCTTTCCAACGGGAAAATCATTTGATTGGCTGAGATCGTCAATGGGGAAGGGCCAAACACAGGCTAAGCCAATCAACATATCCTCATAGAGATGCACTGAATCAATACATCTCTATGGGGAAAGCTCAATGTCTCCATGTAGAGTGTGGAGATGTTGAATGTCAGTGCTGGACACTATGAAGCACTGCCCCAGGAAGCACCTTTAGTGGTCATCTGAGGAGTGGCCACTAGAGGTGTCACTGGGCTGCAATGTAAACACTGCCTTTTCTCTTAAAAGATAGTGTTTACAGCAAATAGCCTGCAGGGACTGAGTATACTCACCAGAACAACTATTGTCCCTTTAAACCTGCTTCAAAGACTTGATCTTTCTTGAGTTTGAGAGATTGTCTAACTTCTAAGGCAGTACATGCATATAAATATGTTACATATAGCCAAAACCTAAGGATTAACGTTCTTAAATGGAATTTCAAAGACTCTCATGAACGAAACACATTTGGGATGAAAATGATCACACATTTCAACACCAGATACGAAGGACTTAATGTAGACTCTGGCTTTCTCACAAACTACCAAAACTTTTTATAAACGCACAGCTTAATGTCTTATATTGTTCTTTTTCAATATTCTCGTTTCACCTTTATTGGATCAATTTATATACATGCATATATGCAGCTATATACTTGCATGCCGTGCTCTGCTGTTTTCTTATCGGTATCATTGCATACTGCAATACTCTGAAATTTTAGCATCTTCTCTACTGGACTAATACAGCTAATCCACACCACACCACACCACACCACACACACACACACACACACACACACACACACATATATATATGAAAAAAATAGGATTCACTCGCAGGTCTTAGGTTAAGGGGACTGGTGTATTTATTGGGGGGAAAAAAATCAATTAATCATTTCTGTGTACAAAATAATCGACGTATCGACCCTATAAGGATCTTTTTCAAGATCACAGATAAAGTGCAAATGTGGCATTATTACACTTTATCTGTGATCTTGAAAGAGACCCTTAAAAAGGGACAAAACATTGATTATTTTGTACACCGAAATGATTGGTATATTTACTGAAAATATTAAATCAATAATTCTTCACCTTTAACCTAAGACCTGCAAGTGCATCCTATTTTTTAACGCAGGATATTTGCACCCAGGCAAGCAGTACTATATATCTAAATATTGGTGGAGTGCCAGCAAACTTCTATTGGAAAAATTATATTATATATATAGGCATCTTGTCTACTGGACTAACACGGCTAATCCAATCTACATTATATATATATGGTTTTGTTTGTATATATTATATATATATATATATATATATATATATATCTCAGGGCTTGACAAATACCAGGTGCCAGATCGCCATGGCGATTAAGAATTTTGCCCTGGCATCTGGGACTGGTCAGCCCTTGCCCTCCTTCTGTCCTGCAATGCCGTTCAATCTCTCTGTCCACCCGTGCGCCGGGAGGAAGTGAATGGAAGGGAACTGTACATATTTCCTTCCGGCGCTGAAGCCGCGCAGGGGAACCACAAGCTGGCAGGACACCTGGTAAAATCTGCTCTGCTTGCTGCCTGCCCCTATTCCACTAAGGACGCCCCCAGCCCGCCCCAAAACCACAGAGCACCCCTTACGGCTCACCCCTGTACCGCAGAGTACGCCTCCAACCCGCTCCCATTCTGCAGAGCCGGCTGCCTGCCTCTTCCCCTGTGCAACCTCAGAGCAAGGTGAAAGTAATTAAAGTTCACTTCCTCCCGGCGAATAGAGATACAGGAGGAGGAGGAGTCTTAATAGAGCGGCAGCCCACTCCCATCAGCTGCAGCTACCCCTATTGCAACCACCTGCTACCCAGTCCTACTAGACCCTAGGGAAGCCACCCTCCTGAACCCAAACGGTAGGAAACAGGAGGGTGGCTAAAAATATGTATTTAGAAAAAAAAATAAAAAATTATGTGGGTATCTGTCACATTGTGTGTATATATCGTGTGTATATTTCTATGTGTGTATCTAGAAATCATTGTGTGAGTCTGTCAGTCAGTGAGTGAGTGTGTGGGTCTGTCTGTCGGTCTCTGTCTGTCAGTCAGCGAGTGTGTGGGTCTGTGTGTGTGTGTGTATCAGTCCAGGTGTCTGTTCGTGAGTGTGCGTGTTTAGGTCACTAGTCCCCCTTGTGATCGCTTGGGAATGGTGTTTTTACTCACCTTTTTTCCCCAACACCGTCGCCTGCAGAATGGGAGCGGGTTGTAGGAAAGCATTGGGAGCTATTGAGCATCCGCGGTAAAATGCTGCACCAATCAGCATCTCCTCATCATCTCCTCATAGAGATGTATTAAATCAATGCAGCTCTATGGGGAGCATTCTGCGCCTCCATGCAGATAGGAGACACTTTAGTGGCAGTTTGAGTGACTGCCACTAGAGATGTTACTAGGCAGCAATGTAAACACTGCCTTTTCTCTAGAAAGGCAGTGTTTATGTGGAAAAACCTGCAGGGACAGGCAATAGACTCCAGAGCCACTACATTAGCCTGTAGTGGTTCTAGTGACTATAGTGTTCCTTTAAGAATTGTATTTTCGTTGTTGAAAAAAAAATGGCTCCTAACTTTTTTAGGTGGCTCCTAGATCCAAAGCAAATTTGTCAAGCCCTGATAGATAGATGGATAGAGATATATACACACACATATATATATATGGATAACTCTAAATACTGATAAAATATAAAGGGTGGTAAATGCTCCTAGATTGTGACAGGAAAATTAATAACAAAACAAACCTCATAGATGGATGAGGTTTGTCGTTTCCAGGTTTCTATAAATTAACACAGACGGCAAATCGCTATTGTAATTCAAACACCAGAGGACTCCCTCAAATGCAGTGCTAAACCCACTCTCACTGGAATTCAGCTAACACTGTGCCAAATCCACCGACCCTCTGGATCACTGGATTTCAGCTAATGCAATGCTAAAGTCGCTGATACTAAATTATCGAATCAGCACTCAACATCACTGGATCTCAGCTATTGTTGAGCTAAGTAGCAGTCAATGACAATCTGTACAACTGGATTTCAGCTAATTCAGTACTAAATCCTCTGACACACAAATAAGGGCTAACATTGATTCTTTTTTATTTTCACTTTCATACCAATTCCCAAAATTTAAAAATATAACTGTAGATTTAAAGTGAAAAACAAATAACTAACAATGAGTTAATAGTTTTACATTTAATGAGCAAATTACGTGCACTGAAATTTCTCATCAGTTTACATTGTGTTCCTGATTAATTTATTCTCAGGTATTGGTTTGAATGTCATATCCAGTCAGTCTTCCTGTGTAGTCATTTACACCACAAGTTTACTGAACTGAACGCAGTCTAAGAGAATAGAAAGTGCACCCAAGCACTAATGTTCACATGCAGCACAGTTATGTATTTTTCAGAGTGAGAATATATACATATATATATAAAAAGACTTAAAAAAATTAGAATACAAACAGACCTGTGAACTTCACTATTAAAGTCAAATATATATGATGAAATATAACATTTACGGTAAATTCAGCAGAAATTGGTGATGATATGGCCAAACAAAAAGAGTCAAGATGCCCCAAGATGTCTCTTTTTGCAAATGGTATGTTTGCCATGATAGGTGTAAAGTGAAGTTGAGTTGTCTACTATTTTGTTCAAAAATAGACATGGGCAAAGTAGCTGAAGACTGAAATCTGTAATGTGACTCTATAACTTTAATAATATCTGTCAACAGTCTACATGTGGTGTGTTGCTGTGCCAAGAGACAGAAGTGGAATACAAATATGGGGTCTTTACAACAGTGGGACACATACAGTCTGAAATTCCCCATGAAAATGAAATGTGTGTGTGGAAAAAAATTTCATGTGAAAATGCACTTCAAATTGAAGGGACACTCCAGAGTTACTAATACATACTTTAATTTACAATGCTGGAGTGTTTCTTTGCCCGTTTAGATTTAGAGGCCCCTATTAAGAACGGAGAAAGGGGGGAGAAGCTACTTATACTGAATCCAGCTGCAGGTTCTTCTTGGCCAACTTTGCCAAGAGATGATCACGAGATCATAGAGGTGGTGGGAGGCCGGATGCAGACACATAAAATACACTGGGGAGTGTTTAATTTCTATGAATACATACTTTTCTGTAGAAGTTGTGGATTCTGTGACCACATTACAATTATAGTATCATCAGACCAAATTTCACAAAGGTTTAACTTTAAAACCACAATTACTCTTTGCAATATTTGACCTCTAACTTCCAAAGAATTACAATAATCCAGGTCATATGGGCATTTTACAAATCAAACAAGTGAATGTCTTTTTTATTTTTTTTAACTAGTAATTCAAAAATATATTATTAAGCATAACCATAAAAAAAATGCTTAATATTGTAAGCATATGTAATGTTGTGCTATGTCTACATATAGAGAACAGCAACAAACTTGGGCTCTCTATGGGGATCCTCTGGGTTGACAAGAATAGCCAAAATAGTCTAAGTCTACACTTTTCAATTATTATTATTATTATTTGCCTTTATATTGTGCCAACTTATTCTGCAGTGCTTTACAATGTTATAAAGATGGAAACTTAACATTAAATGAGACCATTACAAAATGTTACAGGAACAATAGGTTAACGAGGACCCTGCTCAAACGAGCTTACACTCTGGAGGAATTCACCTGTAATATCCAAAGCCCCAATTAGTGATGGTCAGTAGTAATGCACACCTACCTCACTATCTGTAGGGCAGCTTCTTTTGCTGCTGTTAGAGTTTTCTTTGTTTACACGCTGCTCTTCATTTGCCTCAGTGGGGAGGGTTTCCCGTTCTCGACTGTCATTTTCCACTGCCTTGAAATCATTTTCAAGATTTCTATTTTCAAAAACCAACTTCTTCCTCACATCCATCTCTTTCATGTCTGAACATTCTGCCATTAGCTCAGTTTTCTTTCTCCCTGGAACATGTTCTTCATTTTTTACTTTGCAGTACCTTCCTGGAAAGAGGTCATCTTCCAAAAGGGCATCTCTCTCCAGCTCCTCAACTTCAAGAAGTACATTAGGTGATTCAATTATCTCCTGTGGTTGGGTCAGATGCCTAAAATATCTACTGTCAGGCAAAATCTCTGGAACCCCACCAATCTCATTTAGTCTGCAATTGAGCTCAGGTTGGAATGTGTCAGAAAACATGGAGTCAAACTCGTTTGCTGGCAAGCCACGTTCCACATGTTGCCTCCACAATTTGTTGTGTCTCTGTTTACTAGAAAGAAAAAACACATAGTCTTTCATTAGTTTTATATCGCCATGGCTATTACATTATTTGACTGCCTCTAGTATAGCCTGTATTTAATGGATACTGCCTATCTTAACCAGACAGATTATTTCTGCAACTCAAGATAGCTCACACAGTTAGGAGTACTAAAAGCTCCCCGGCCTGTAGTTGTTTACTTTGATTTGTCCTTCATCATTTAAAAAAAAAAAACAACAACAAAAAACACTATGTACAGCACTATGGACTATTTCGTGCAGAAAAAATAATACCTTAATGGATACAATATTGTAATTTTCATGAGCCATTGAAATAGTCTAACACAATAGGAGTACATGGAACAATACAGCTTTAAAGGAACACACATCTATAGAGAAGGAAATTCTTAAATCCTCTATTCAACAAAACATTCCTCAGTAAGGCTACTGCTGTATGCTGCCGCAGTGACTTTTTAAATGCAAAAATAAGACAGTTTTAGGAAATAACTAAATATAAACAATAATAATGAAAAATATATATAATAATTGGCTATATTATTTTGAGTCTGCTTTTAAGAGCTTGTGAAATTCACGGGTATTTCCTCTAAATATAAAATATAGTTCCTATTATGCAATACAAAAATACAATTTAAAAAAAAAAAAACGTGTGTGCACTCTCAAAGCCAGTTAGGGGCAATATGGACTTATTATGCATGCTCTCATATAGTGCCAATCAGGGCCGGCGCCACCTATAGGCAAAGTTTTGTTAAGTATTGCATGTTTCCCCAAGAGTTACACAGGGACCAGTAGGCATATTTCCATTTTAAATAATGCAACTGAAATTTCCAGACATAATAGATTTTAAAAAGCATACCTGTGCATAAAGAGACAAGTAAGGAACTCACCTTGCATCCAAGATTCCCTCATACTCCAACAGCTGGCGTATGAACCCTGCATTGGGTCTAGCTACACTACGTTTCTGTTTTACGTAGTTGTATGCCTTCTCCATTGACCAGCCATACTCTTTCATGGCATATGCAATGACCGTGGAAGCTGAGCGGCTGACCCCCATTTTGCAGTGCACCAAACACTTTGAATGATTCTTCCTGATAGGAAACAGCAATTACAGCTATATTAATGAGATACAGGGACTGATATCTATAGGAATCACAGCAATTTATGTTGAGCTTGCTGCACATAATCAATGCTGTATGTAAATACAAAAGGTAAAAACCAGATTCCTCAATCAACACTATCTATGTGTTTGACTTGGACTGATAAATATTGCAATATCAATACTAACTTTGCCTTATTAATGAAGTGATAGGCCTCATTCCAGTGGGACAGCAGGTCGGTGGTCTCCTCATCATAGACACGTATATTGTGGTAAGCAAAAAGACCAGGGAAAAAATTATCTATCTCCCTGGTCACATTTAGTATGTAGCCAACCCTGAAATAGGAACAGAAAGTTAACGTTGGATGGAAATTATTGGCAATTTACAATCTGGCGGTTATAGCACCAGGAGAAGCATGCATTGTACCAAAAAGGTATGCAAGCAGCATGCAATCTAAATACATTTATCAAAACAGTCTTTAAGGGCCACCAAGAAGATGTAAAAATATCCCAAAAATACAGAGGTTCTTAAAGAAGGGTATTAAAAACACTGGATTAGATTGCAAAATACATTTGCTAAACATAAAAGTGTTGCTTAATATAAATATAGAGAAATTAAGACTAGCATTGTGATTCCTTGTTAATAAAAGTCTAGTTCAACCCCCCCAAGTGCAAATATAAACTAAAATGTTTTAAATGAATGCAAACACTCATCAATGTTTTTAGTGAACAGAATATGTAATAAAACCTCTGGTTGTGCTTAAAAAAAATATGTTTTTCCCCATAAGAGTGCCTCCAAAAGACAACCTGTTTGAGGTTTTCTATCAACTACTACCATTAAGAAAGACCTTACTTTAACATGTCAAAATCAGCAAGCAGTGAAATGATTGATATAGAAAATGAATCTGCTTTCACAGGATAGATTGTGTAAATCAGACTGGGAGATAACACATGAGATTTACTATAGGGCTCTAACATATTCATGCAAGATGCCAAAGTCTTGTGTCTCACCCTGCACTGCGCAGCTCCTCCAAGTTTGATGCATTCCACTCAGAGCCCTGAAAAAAAAAACAGCAAGGTAAGTATACATTCCTACAAGCTGCCTTGTCAGACAGATAAGGAAGTATGAATTGGTTTTCACAAAACCAGACTACTAAAAGATTTAAAGAGGCACTGATACAAAATCAGGCAAAGTGAGTATATCAATATATTGCCAAGAAAAAAAATGTCCTACTATTAGCACAAAGTGCTAATGCTTGACACAAATCTTTGTTTTCTAAGATTTAAACAAACACTCTATTCTCCCCCACACCATTTTTAAAAATCACAATTAGAAGATATACCCCCAGCCGTGAGAAGAGAGGAAGGCTACTACAGTGCGCCTGCCACCTCTCCTAGCTGTGTGTGTGATTGACAGCCAGGGAGGTGTTTCTGTGCCAAATTATAAAAGTGCTGATTTCTATTGAATTCGGAAGTTTCATAAACAGTCACATATGTGACGGCTCCAGACACAAAGAACTTCAAAGCTGACGTGCTTTATGCGTGTGGTGTATGCATTTAAGATGAGCTTCTGTAAAATAAATAAATAAATACATTTAAATGGATGCATGTGCATAGACTGCAGTATATTCTTACATTATTACACATAAAAGGAATATATTTATTACAGAGTACAAATGTGATAAATTAATGACACTTGAAGGTGTTCAGGAGGTGAATTAACACACATATACTGCCCCTTGTTTTTCACTAAAACAATTATCAGGTACACAAAGAGAATTTCAAACGTAAGGAACAGTAGCTAAACCAGAAGCTTAATGGACTACTAAGAGATTCTGGCCATAAATTTGAAATTGAATATAAGTACCTGAGTTCGTGATTCTCACGTAAGCGAATAATCCTGTGCAGTGTTTTGTAGTTTTTTTTTTTTACATCTGGTTCCAACTCTGCAGTTTCAGGGAGATGTCTCATTTAACAAATATAACCACTACAACTAATTTGGGTTGTTGTGCATTATTTATATTTGTCCAGGTACTATAGACAAAGACAAACTACATTGTCTTTACATGAGTCATTTCCTAGCCAATTTATGACGAAAATATACTAAAAAAAAACACAAGTATGCTGAAATGATTCCTTTAATTGCTGCAGGTTGCCAAGCAACAACACATCAACCAATGTAAAAACTAAATATTTGATTAAAAAGTGGGGGGAAAGTGGCTAAATTTGAACAGCAGACTTTTACATTTTCCCTCCAACTTTGTATTTCCAAACACACATGCTATATATCAGTTCACTAGTTTTCAGTGCCTTTCTTTACTCACCAAATAGAGGTCATCAAATATGAGTGAGGCTTTATCCATCTGACCCACTATCTGCAACATCTCAGTGTCAATATATTCCTTATACTCCTTTAGATTGCAGCTTAACTTCTTCTCCAGTTCATTACGGATCTGGAGGGAGAACCAAAAATGCTTAGATAGAAAAAAAGAATGCACAAACACCCATTCACAAACAGAACATCATTTGTACAGGTAGATTAGAATTTACATAAATATGAAAGACTCACTAAAAAGGTGAAGTTACAAACAACCCAGACAACTGTAAAACATAAAATCTCAATGACAGAGTTTTTAAAGTGAGATAGATAGAGACTATTCCCACAGTTATAAAACAGGGAAATAGATGAAGAGCACTCAAAACGAAATTAGATCAGATATTTTATTCTATAATGCAGAACATTACAAGGAGCCATGAATTTAAAAAAATGTTACTACAGTATCTGAACATTGCTTTCTGCAGAAATATATTTAAAGGAACACTACAGCATGTATTCCTGATCCTATAGTGTTAAAAAAAAAACAACAACAAAAAACATCTATCCTCTTTGCCCCCTTAAATATAGTAAAATCTGACCTTTATACCATTCTGCTGCTGCTGGCTCTGCCCCTGATCTGACATCGAATGGCAGTGCTGCACATTCTCCCAGGAAATACCTCTCGTAGCCATCTGAGAACAGGCCAGTGGAGGTATCCCTAGGCTGTAATGTAAACACTGCCCTTTCTTTGAAAAACATGTTTACTGAAAAAAGCCTGAAGGTTATGATTATACTCACCAGAACAAATACAAAAAGCTGCAGTTGTTCTGGTGACTATAGTATGTCCCTTTAATGTACAACTATCTCTTATAAACCTAGGTTGATTTGCAAATTCACTGATCAGCCACAAAAATGAATAACATTGATTATATAGGGGGCAGAGCTTAGAGTCGAACAGACGCCATCTGTCACAGCTCCTGACATTTGCAATTATTTTGCCACAATCCATGGTTCCACACCACCATCAAGGTTTTTACTTATCCACCACTTCAACTATCGAAGGTGAGCATCAAGTCCATGCCTTTTTTATCTCAAAAATCAGGCAAGAGGGCTCAGCGCAAATCCAGGACCTACTTCGAGTTTCCAACCTCAAAAGGTGGCACTAAGGGAATTAGAGTCGAAGTAGATGAGCTGCACAGCTTGCCTTGGCTACCAGACTATGCTGCTCAAAACACCAGCACCATAGGATGTAGATCCCTGAAGCTACAACTTGGACCCAGTAAAGACAATGATATCGGGGCTATGTTGCAACACTCCATGGGCTCTAAGATTGCGGCCAGGTCAGACAATGGGTGTGCAAGACATGCAGATCAAACAGACACTGGGGTTCCCTCTCTCCCATGACACTCCTTGTGGTATTTGCAGAACAGTACCCACTAGTCCAGGCTACCTAACAGGATATTGCTAACCTCTTGAGAGAGCCGAGACAGATGTCAGTGGCAGATCTCTAAGTCAGAACCGAATTACTGATGGTGACTGCACAAACACACACAAGCCACGGAAGAAGATGTCTTGGACCTCAGACAAGAGGTACAAGGGCTGAAAGAACATATGCAAACCTCTCATACCTCCCTGACACTGCAAAGGGACCTCGCCAAAGACCGCACCAACATTAACATCCTAGGCGTCCCGGACTCTGTCAGCACAAACTAATTGCCTCACTATTTGTGACGCCTAATGGAAACGAACCTACCACACTGCCAAGCAAAAAGGCTCTAGTTTAAATGGTATATACAGAATTAATAAACCCAGGCAGGACTGACTGAGGTCTACCGGGAAATCAAAGTCTGCTTTCACTCTCTGTCGGTCAAAACACATATGACTTTGAGACACTCAATTTGATGTTCTTTCAAGACCTGACGAGGAATACACTGCAATGGCGGAGATCCCTTGGTGCAGTCAATTGTGTGAGGCTGGCGTAGAGTACCGCTGGACTTTGCCAAAATCCATCACGGCTACTACTACTAATGGAAATATGTTGAGACTCCCCTCCATGAACAATCCCTAGTGGGATCACACCTGTCCAAGATGGCTATGGCTTTAGGTTCTCAGGAGGTTAGAAGTTCGAACTGCCTGATAATGTTATCCTACGATTATTTTTTCTCCCTTTCCGTTTCACATTGATATATATGATCGTGGTACTAGCAATTACCACAACCTATGTTTAACACAATTCTTATTAGATGGCTCTTTCCGTTTCATTGAAGCTATAACTAAAGAGGCGTGATTTTGCTGAATGCTTTACAATGAAGAATTGTGCAAATTCATTTAATATTGTCTCTAAATTCATTTTGATAACTGTATGTGTATGGCTTTGACTCAATAAAACAAAGAATGACAAAAATAAGAATAAAAAAAATTATATTGTTACAATGGCATATGGCAAGGAGTGGAATAGATTAGGCAATCAGTTAACAATCAGTTCTTGAATTTCATATTTTAAAAGCAGGAAAAATAGGCAAGTGAAAGGATCTGACTTTTGCCAAGGGCCAAATAGTGGTGGCTTGACGACTGGGTCAGAGAATTTTTAAAATGACAAGACTTGTGGGGTGTTCCCAGTATGCAGTGGTTAGTACTTATTAAAAGTGGTGAAAGGACAAGCTGTGAATCGGCATCATGGTAAGCACAGTGTGTTTAAGTTAGAGTTTCTTATCTCCTGCTATAATTTACAGCAGCCTACTGTGTGTGATTCACGTTCAATCAGCCTGGGGAGGTGTGACTAGGGCTGCATGAAGAAAATAATTTAACTGCTAAATGGCAGATAATTAAGAAGTGATTCTTCAGGGGCATGATCTATACACAAAAACGGCTTTTTAAAGTTGTTTTGGGGTTCAGAGTGTCCCTTTAAGCCTAGCTATATTTGTGTCTCAAGTAATTTTCTGTTACTCTTGACTTAAGATATCTTTCATACATTTTCTGTAAACCATTATTATTATACACTACCTCTGTATTTTCACCATCCAACTCTAATATAGTATCAGCAAGAAATTCTCACAATTCAAAAAACTATTCAAGATCTCAAAGTAAAATGTGAAAAAAACATGTGTTTTTCCCCTCTATGCTCTTTATTTTGGCACCAGAAAATGTGCATCTTGAGTATAATAGTAAGGCTGATCTATTACTATTTAAAGGAACACTACAAACACGATAACCATTAGTGGTTATGATGCCAGAAGTACCCTGGCATTCTCCCAGAATAAGCTCCTGCCACTGCGATGTGCCCAGCCATGCTGGAACTCGCTCACTGGCTAAGAGTGTTTAGTAGATGCTCTTACACAATGAGCATTGTCTGGCATGGACTAAGCTCAGTGGATTCTGTTAGTTAGCTTCTAACAGAGAGCCAGAAGCAAAGCCAGGCAGTGCAGGGCTTAGCTCAGGAGAGCAAACATAAGCAGGAGCTTCTGTCTCTGTCAAAAAGAGGAGGTGGGGAGCAGCAAATAATAAATCAACCTGTTCTTAAACAAATTGACTACTTCCTCTGAGAGGGCACCATAGCAGCTATAGTGGGATGTAGTGGTTATAATGATTGGAGTGTTCGATTACATTTCCACAACATCAGCAGAAGTAGAGCTCCCTTTTATTTCAACAGCATCCAAAATGTACCAGGTCATTAGCAGGAATTAGATGTTGAGTTAAGTATTTTGGGATGCTATGCAGTTGGATGCTAAGGGCAAATTTACAGCAACATCCAACCTTAGCTCAGAATGCAAACTGGTTAGTGTACTCTTCGAACAACCTACCTCTTTACAGGTCACATTCTCCAAGTCTTTGCTCATCATGATGCTCCTAAGTGTTGCTCTGATAGCCCATTCAGTCTTCTCCCCCTCACCAGGTCTGCATAAGGAAAAATAAAAATCTAAATAAACATCCCACGTACAAGTCCAAAGAAGCAAGTACTAACCCGGGGAGAGCTGGCTTCAATGGTAAGGCATAGTGTATTTATGGATTAATTCAAGAAATTGTTATAATTACAGAACAAAACCTAGTGCTCCAACCTTGGGGTGATTTGCACCATTTCTGGGTTGGGTTTCTGTAATGTAAGGGATGGAAAAATCTAGTGAATTTCACATACAAGCAAGCATTCTAAATGGCCAAAGAGAAAAACGTTTGTTTTAGATATTGTGAGTAATGGTGGATGATGTTTAAAAACATTAGCTGATGCTCCTATTAAACTTGATTTGGTTATGCAAACCTTAACGCAACTTTGACATACTGGTACAGGCATTCCCGAGCCTAGTTTGTTAAAATACACATTAAGTGTAATCATGTTTTATATGTAGGGTACTGGTATGCTTAGTGCAAAAATCTTTATTACTAAAGTATATAATTTGGTGTTTGTATCACTGGTCCTGTATTATTACAGAGATTAGGATACTCACACCATATATAATTGTTGCACTTTATATTCATCAAGTACATATGTATACATTTTTTAAGACTCTTAAGTGAACAGTAGCATTTAAAGATACAGAAACCATTGATTATATATTTCATATATCCTTCATTTATATTCCTTGTTATTATCTAGTTTACCTCAAAGTTGATACTCCTCACATTTATATACATTGTACAACATCTCTATTAGTAAATTTATTGTATCCATTTGAACTTTCTAGACAGGCTAGCTCCGGGATCCCATACACTTCACTGTGTAAGACGTTATCCTTATGTTTTATATGTAGCTTAAAAGATCTGTCTCAGATAATATAATCAGTGTCTGCCCTATCCCCACAATGCACAATCTACTTTTTTGAACTTAAAATGCTAATTATTCAAAACTACTTATTTTAGTGACCAAACACGTTTAAAAGGCCCGAGTCTATAGGGTCACTGTCTGAGTTGGAAGTAGATGCAAACATACATGACCTTACCAGAAGGTGAATACAATGTAGACTGAGGTGCCCCCGCAATTGTATTACAAAAATGAATCTAGTAGGGAGAAAAATGATAAAGGAGTTGGGGATATGTTTATTTTTCATATTTTGGTAAAGAGAGCAATCCTTAAAAGGTCTTTGAAATGGCACGCGGAACTTGGCTGCTGATTAAGCAGGTCACATGCTGGAGGAGCTCTTTCCAGTATATGGGAATATAAGTCTGAATAGCAAGTTATTCTGACATTTTATGTAACTATCTGATCTCTAGTCATCTGAAGAGTACCCTGCAACCTTTCTGGACTGACAGATTTTGTGTTCGGTTTCTTGTGATGTAACCATCTATGGCCTGCCGGTCAACTCAAGTAGGGGAAGACAGACAATTCCATTTTCTGTCCCCAATCTCCCCGGGCAGGCAGGGTTTATCCTGGTCTATACTGCCCAACACAGTATCTTGTGGGTTCAGCAATGAGTTATGAGCATCTCCAATTTGCACCATACTGACCCGAAGATTCCAAGATGGCAGCCGTTGCTGCCCCTGCCATAATTTAATTAAATTTTTTTCTAGAAGTTCGACTGAATTTGCTAAGCATTTTGGCATCAAACGGCAAATAGATCCAAACTATTGGTATCAAAGTCTACTATAACACAGTATACATCTATCCGATCCACCCCATCAAGCCGAATACTGGGAGGGCCCCTTGGCTGATGGCATGGGGCAACTGAGACTCTACTTGAGGGGGCTGATTTTCTTCAGGTAGCAGGCACTTGGGGGATATTGCCTCATGCACAACTCCCATTCCATAAGGGAAAATGCAAGCCGGTGGAAATGCCATGAAACTTCAGTGGGCAGACAACGACTTTCATGCTGCTTAAGACCGGGGACAGTCTGTGCTGCCATGAGCGCTTTGACTGGGAGGCAAGGTGCCTATGCCTACGAACAGGCCTGGAAGCCAGATGGCATTTTCTTGAGGTGGTTGGCAAGGAGACAGGAGGTGCTTGTCATCTGTTTTCTGCTCTTGCATAAAATTACCCACTGGCAAGGAGTATGATAGCTCCTTAAGACACCTTCTTAGATTAAAGCCTAGTATGGTCTTTCTTTCTTCTACCGGTCACAATACTAGCCAGTCAGTGTTATTTTCTTGCAGATAACATGCTGAGGCTTAGCTTAGTCCTAGTATAATAAACCTGTATTACAAGGTGTAGGCTTTTCACTTTCTGCCCAGTGTTATTGCGGTTTATTATTTTTTATCTGTGTTTGGTAATTTACTTAGGACCAGTATAGGCACCCAGACCACTTCAGCTCAATGAAGTGGTCTGGGTGCCAGGTCCCCCTAGTTTTAACCCTGCATCTGAAAACATAGCAGTTTCAGACAAACTGTGATGTTTACATTGAGGGTTAAATCCAGCCTCCAGTGGCTGTCTCCCTGACAGCCACTAGAGGCGCTTCCGCGATTCTCAATGCGAAAATCGCATTGAACTCACGCTGGACGTCCATAGGAAAGCATTGAGTAATGCTTTCCTATGGGAGGTTTGGATGCGCGCAGCTCTGGCCGAGCATGCGCATTCGGAGCCGATGTCGGCAGGGGGAGGAGAGGTCAACAGTGTCAAGGGAGCCCGGCGCTGGATTAAGGTAAGTGGCTGAATGGGTTTTAACCCCTTGCACCAGCGGGAGGAGGGGATCTAATAATCCTATAGTGCCAGGAAAACGAGTTTGTATTCCTGGCACTATAGTGTTCCTTTAAAGAAAATTAGTGATTATTGCATTTGTATGTCCACTCCATGCATGATATACAGCCTATATTTTATTATAACCACTCAATGGAAAAAAACTTGATTGGCAAAAAAAAAAATTAAAATAGGTTTATGAAATGCACATGATGAAAGGGTGAGATCCCAAAGATGTTGCGTTTTCTTTCTTTTTTTTCTATCTGGGTATTCACAACTACTAAAGGTTGCATGGTTATTTCTTTACTCACTTATCCATGAATATGACAGGGGAGTCTGGCCTTGTGGATTCTAAATCCTGCATGGCGTTCCACTCATTGATGCAGCTCTGATTGGAGCTGATACAGCTCTCGTAGTATGTAGCCCACACGAGAGCCAGTCCTCCAGGAAAGTAATTGTAGCGTCTGGCCATCTCGCAGGACTTGTGAAGTATCTGTAGAGCTGACCTAGAGAGGGAGACAAATGCACGGAAAGGAAATGGGTGAAGGAATATAGAGATGGAATGTCTATAACAAAAAGTTAGAGCAATTTGAGAAAGACTGAGAAAATAGTTGTATACTAAAAAGTGTGTGTGGGGGGGGCAAGGGGCATCTAGTGGTCTAGTCCATCATATTTTTCCATTCATACATCCCACTTCCACTCTGGATCTCAAGTAATGCAATGTTGTGTGCGACACACACACACACAAAAAAAAAAATCAGTTTCTTTGGATCTACAAACAGAGAATTTACAAGAGAAAATTGTAAAAGCAGGCTAAATATAAGGGATATAGAGAACTGTAGTAACAATGGGAGAGGAAAAGGAGTATGGGTTAGAAGGGTAGAAAGGGGGAAAAAAAAGCTAACTTAATTACTGGCACAAAGTCCAATGGGTGAGCAGTTTCAGAAAATCTAGTTTTACATAATTATTACATACTACCCATTATTATATGCAACCCCTTTAGTTAACAGCTTTATAGCTCAACTCTTTTTTTGTTTTAAATACTAAAAACAAACCAGGTATTTACTCACCACATTGCCTGAACGGACACAGGTTTGAATACGTGAGTTCTACCTGCAGTGTTGATGCTAAAACCCCTGTACGAATTTAGAGAAGAGAGCTTATTGGCAACATACTCAGAAGTAAACTTCATAATGTAATCTTCATTCACAAAAGTTGGTCAGAGCAGCATAATATGTTTATATTCAACTCTTAAATACACTGTATTTAGGCCTCTTGGGAAAAAAGGGGACATAATTTCTTGTAACACATAAGAATATATATATATATATATATATTCCATAGCTTGCAATATACAATTACTTTCCTCCACTCAGCAGGAAAACATACTATTGCTTTGTGAGGTATCCTTTTTTGTCTTTAACTACTGAGCTACATATAGCTGACTACTATAATGTGACTACTATAAAATCAATGGTACCTGATATTACTTTCATAAATACAATGCTATTTGTATTTATTTTGCAGTGCTGTAGAACAGAATGATATTGCTAGCAAGTTACATACAGTGAGACATTACATGAACTTAATAAGGATTAAGACAGATGCAGTATGCAGCACCAGGAATGGTAAAGTTTCTTATATTTTATTATATGTTCGGATCACCACTGGGGTTTCACGATTTAGTATAACTCCACACTAGGATTTCTCTCTGCTAGCAGAACTAGTGATTTGTAAAGTCCTACTTTCATTCTTACCCATCTCCATCCAGGCGTATGGTGGTGTCACTCCACAAGTGCAGAACCATTCCAATCGTGCAGCTTTTGCTGGGTCAAGAAAAAACAAAACAAAAAAAACAGATTAGACTGGGGACATCAAGTCTCACAAATAATTCAACCTGCTCCTATTCACAGTACAACATTTTGTAAAGAATTTGAGTTATTCTAACTTGGATTTTTTCCCATATCTGATGGGAGCAAAGCTGGATAAACAATTTAAGCACTATTTAGTAATTTATTGCTTCCTTAGATTTTTTTTTTATTCTATATTTATAGCTGCACATGTAGTATCAAGTCACAGTTGCTGAACAGTTCTTCGAGCAGCTTTTTTCAATGAATACTGACATAAACATGACAGAAAGCCCACAAGAGATTAAAACAAAAAGAACAAGAAAAAACGAGCAGGCACACAAACTTTGGAAAACTCATCCATGCCTACTTCTATTTGGGTTATGTGCAATTCAAATATTCATAACTGATGAGTGCAAAAGTGCTGTTCTTCATTAAAGTATCCTGCTGCAAACTGCAATAGAAATGATTTAGGACATTAAACTAGAGATATATTTCACAACCTACATATTTCAGTTTCAATATTGTATGCTCATGGTACAAATTTCACTTGCTGCTCTAGAATCTGGCTTACATACAGCATAGGAAAGGTTAAAGGGGCATACATCAGTTTGAGACAGCTGCCTTATTCAAAAGCTTTAGCTATGAATATGGAAGTTGCCTCATTATGCAGCCTGAAAAAAAAGCAGGTAAATGCTTTTTTCCATATATACCTACTTCTTCTTCCTTATGCTTTCCACACCCACTATCCCTAGGAATGTTGGAAAAGTGCATTGGAAAGATTTACTCATGTGCAGTTGGAAGAACCCTTCAACTTTTAATATCCTGACAGGGGGAGAGGAGAGAGAGTCTGCTCAGTGAGATCATGAAGAGCTGGCTCCTGTGCCAGGTTTCTCACTATGATGCCCTGTTTGTGTTATTAATAGACTGGTCTGAAACTGAGCTGGGTGGGTAAGAGGAGAGCTGGGTTGAAGACTTACCTAGTTGAGAAGTGTGCCCAATAATGAAATCTGACCGAGTTAATAGCAACTTTATTACAAACTTCAAAATTTGTCTTGCTTTATTTTGGTTTGTTTAAAGGGACACTATAAATTGCAGTACTATGACAGACTCTAGTGGCCCAATCAAAAACGATTGTCTGGGGTTGCTGTGTCTCTCGTGCAGAGGGAACTTGCTGGCATTTCGGATCTAGACTGCTCGTATGGGTGGGACCAGTCTGATATGTTTCAGAGATGTTCTCTCTGTAATGGCACAAGATGAGCTAAAACCAGCTTAAGTTCTGAGCGGGGACCCACCGAAGGGCAGGCTATTTCAGCTGCTGCCCGTTCTCAGAATACTCTTGCTCCCTGTTTTTTTTGCTCTCCGGAAGTAAATATAATGTGAGAGGCTCACCTTTCTTTGCAGGTGAAATCCACCCCAAGTAAGATATTCTCTTCTGTGTCCTGGCGGCCATTACTATAGACCACCACCATGTAGCGTACACGATCTGACCAGCTACTCTCCAAGCGGACAGCCTACAAAAAACATGGGGGTAACAGGGAACAGTAAAAATGTCAAACTAAATATACAAAAAAACGAATGAATTTTATGATAAAAGTAGTAAAACAAGATGCTGAGTAAAGTCATGTATCTGAAGAAAATGATGCACAACTAGCCCAAGTGACTCACTTTCACCACCAAATATAGTGGTTTTTGGAATTTGCTGCTACAGAGTAAACAATATTAAGGCTTTATCACTTACTAAATCGCTAGAAATGTACAGCAACACTTAGTGGACAGCTTAAATTATTATTTTGACTGTAAGCAGTAAAAAAAATAAAAAAAATAAAAAAAAGGGTAGGTGTCATGACTAACCAGTTCCAGGAATGAATCCAAGCTTATTTTAGGATACAGGACACTCAAACATGTTAAAGGAAAGCTGGGTCTACAATGCAGTAATTTAATTGTTGCTTTGTAAAAAAATAATAAAAAAATGAATGCGGCTTTGCTGCAGTAGGTTGAACACTGCTCACTCTATTAAATAGGCAAAATATTGTCAAAGGGAAAAGGCCAATTGTTAGAAGTCTTAGAAGTCATTATGGTCTACGTCTTAATAGAAAACTTTTACCAGCTTAATGCGATCTTCACATCGGAGGAGATTGATCATAAGTTGAAGGTGCTGGGGCAGATCTCCTGTAAAGAGCGATATTTATTTGAATCCAACTTAAAGAAATACAATGTGTCTTATACACAACCATGACGTATGGTCCCTAAAGAAACACACAAAATAGATACTCCAGGCACATATGTACGTTAGTCGCAATGTATAATTATTATGCTGGGTAAAACATTTTAAATCTGTTTTTAGTTGTGTGTTATTTTTTTTTTTTTACTACATACATTGGTTCTGCTCAATAAAGATACCCTTTCTATTCATCCATTCCAATCTGCAGGGGTTTACCACATAGTTAACAACATCAAGAAGTGCTACAAGGTATATAAGTAGGACATTTCATGTACACACCCTAAGGACCCCACATAAGAAATTAAATCATTGTAAAAACAGATTAGTTACAATGTGGAGGGGGGCTTGGCGCACCAACACACCAGTGGCACAGTACCCACTACATTGCACTTGAACTCTTGTTAAGGTAACTTAAGAGCTTATGGGTATGGTACGTGTTGATTGGCTACTTAAAAGGTAGCTTGAGCCAATCACATGAGATAATCCAGCAATATCCCTGAAATCAGATGAACATGCCATAGTGCAGATAATCTTTTTGTCCCAAGCTATAGCTGGTAACCTCACAAGTAAATCTAAATGAAGTAAATACATGATGCACTACAGGAATCCTGGAGACCCTTTCTGCATGACTGGTGCAGCGCCAAGAGGTTAAAGAGACACTCCACTGCCCAAACACGAAATAAATAAAAATCAATGTTTAGCAGATATATCCCAAATGAAAACTTGCATGTATTTAAAGAGATACCATCGTGCTAGGAATACAATGTTGTAATTTTAGCGCTATAGTTCTTTTACATCTCTGCAAGGTGGTTATTGCAGTTTCTCAGAAACTGCAATAATTACCATTGCAGGACAGGGAGACTACACCCAGACCACTCCAATGAGATGAAGTGGTCTGGGTTCCAATAGTGTCCCTTTAATAATGCATTTTTTTTTTTTAAATTAAGGGTGTATATATCACTTGCAAAACCTGTAGCGCTCGTCTGCTGCATTTGCAAGCCCTCCCTTTCTAACCCCGCCCAGATTTTTTATGGCTGTCCAAATCACAGACTTTCCAATGCAGCTCAATGAGAAGGCAAGGCACGTCATCTGGGCAATTGCTGCATCTTGAGTTTAGCTCCACTGACCTAACCAAACCAGGAAGTAACAGGACCAGTTATCTGATTGACACCCAGGGAGTTTGACCAGGTTAATTTATAAAAGTGCACATATCTTACTGAAATCTGCACTTTATGCTAAATGAAAAACACAATATTTTACAGCAAGTTAAAGTGCTTTAGGGATAACATAGGTCGACTGGAGTAGCCCGCTATCTTCTCTCACAAGTGAGACTTTCCTGCAATTTATAGCAGTTATCTCACAGGCACTGGTAAAACTATTGAAGCCAATCAAAGACACTGCTCACACTAACTGACAGCTGAAGATTGCTGTGATCATTCTACATTCATCATGTCCCAGTATAGGCTTGAATTAGAATTAAATATTATTTAGTCTAGGCATGTTTTAAAGGACCACTATAGTGCCAGGAAAACATACTCGTTTTCCTGGCACTATAGTGCCCTGAGGATGCCCCCACCCTCAGAGACCCCCTCCCGCCCAGCTCTGGAAAGGGGAAAGGGGTTAAAACTTACCTTTTTCCAGCGCTGGGCGGAGAGCTCTCCTCCTCCGATCCTCCTCTTCTCCTCCTGGGCTGGCTGCGCGCGCATTCAGCCCGTCGCATAGGAAAGCATTTACAATGCTTTCCTATGGACGCTTGCGTGCTCTCACTGTGAAAATCACAGTGAGAAGCACGCAAGCGCCTCTAGTGGCTGTCAATGAGACAATGCCACTAGAGGATGTCAATGAGACAGCCACTAGAGGATTAGGGGGAAGGCTTAACCCATTCATAAACATAGCAGTTTCTCTGAAACTGCTATGTTTATAAAAAAAATGGGTTAACCCTAGCTGGACCTGGCACGCCGACCACTTCATTAAGCTGAAGTGGTCTGGGTGCCTAGAGTGGTCCTTTAAGGGCAAGTGTATAAACACAACTTTCTATAGCACCAGGGATCACTAATTATGGCACTTAACATTTGTGATCTACTTTCCCCCCAAGTCGCTCTACCAGCCCAAAGACTTACTGAGAATTATATGATTATCAACATCTATATATATTAAAGGCAGAAGGTATTTAACAGAAGCTCCTATACACCATATATCACCCAAGAGCTTATCAGATATCTCCCATACACAAACGGCCATGATTTTATACATGCCTCACATAGTTTTAAATAGGCCAACTATAGATAGACCTTACAGAACAAAAGGTTTTAGTTTTTTTCCAGACAAGTGATATTATTTAGTACAAAAGTGGGGGTGTATCACCAGGTATTCTGCATGAATTCAGGAAAGAGACAACTAGCATGCATCCCTCCGGTGAGAGGCTGCCCTTTTAGACAGATACAAGGCCGACCTTACAGACACCCCATACCTGCATTCTTGTGGTTTAGAAGATTCTTTTGCCCCTGAAAGTTGTTCCCCTGCTGCAAGAATAAGGCAGCTCCCTTCACCATGAAAAAACTGTCGCTCAAACTGTAAAAACAAAAAACAGGGCATTTCAATGCAAACAGATAATCAACACATACATAATTTTGCACAGCATTTTCTGAACTCTAAAAAGATTTATTTATAAACTATAATTTACCAGTGTGGCGAACAGAACCTCACCACGGGCTCTTGGAGGAGCCCGCTTGCCAGCCTCCTGCCTCAGGACTATGGGCCCTGCAATATACCTTGCCCAATGCACTTTAAAAGGCTCAATTCATATGATTTATGTACTGTTGTGCTCCGGAAAGAGAGACTGATCGTTAGCCCTGATTACCTGGAACTGTTTTGGGCATAGGACAATGTGCACGATCGGTCAAAATTATGACTTCCATGGGAACCCTGAACCGATCTGGGTGATCTTTGTATATGTTGGTCTCCCAGATCAGGGCCATCAGTGGATGTGACTTTTGTGGGGTTTCGATGTGTTTTGGGGTTACTTTCAGGGTTTGTTAAAATGTATGTTTTCTGTGCCTGGAGATCATTGAGCTTAATACAGTGCTTGACTCAATTATCTCCCAGGAGAGCAAAAAAACAAGTCGCAAGAGAGTGCTGAGGACGGACAACAGCTCAAGCTCAATTAGCCTGCCCTTCGGTGGATCCCCGCTCAGTTCTCAAGCTGGTTTTAGCTCATCTTGTGACATTAAAAAGAGAACCGGACCATGCATCTCAGACTGATTCCACCCCAAAGGGGCATAACAGATCCAAAACACAGGCCGGCTCTCTCTGCACGAGAGATACAGCAACCCCAGACGATCGTTTCAGCCTTGTTAGGCATCGTCAGTGAAGCATAACTGATATCTCTAAAGGCCCGTTTTTTGCTCTCCATAAGTTTAAAGGGTAATCCAGACGTGGACCCCTTGCTCGTGGTGCCTAGAGAGATATCAGCTATGCCTCACTGATGATGCCTAACAAGGCTGAAACGATGGTCTGGGGTTGCTGTGTCTCTGGTGCAGAGGGAACTTGCTGGCATTTCGGATCCGGACTGCCCGTATGGGGGAGACCAGTCTGATATGCTTCAGAAATGTTCTCTCTGTAATGGCACAAGATGAGCTAAAACCAGCTTGAGTTCTGAGCGGGGATCCAGCGAAGGGCAGGCTATTTCAGTTGCTGTCCGTTCTCAGAATACTCTTGCGACCCGTTTTTTGCTCTCAATTATCTCCCAGGCACAGAGGAGGGATTATCTTGTTTTATGTGGGAGCGTCCTGGACCTGAGAGCCAATGTAATCGTGTGTATGTTTTTACTAGTCTACTCTCAAGTCCAGAGGGGAGTGCCCCTTGCATGGAAAACTGCACATAAGGCCAGCTGTGGCTGCCAATAAAGAGTTCCTGCTTACCGTTAACATAGAGTCTCATCTCATGTGTGCGGGAAACAGCTGTATCTACTCTGGTGGTTGTTATATCACTATACTCCCCTGGGATTATAATCACTTGCTCTTTTAAGAGCATATTGCTATACCCACTGGAAGCTGGATCCTGGTCTTGGGTGAAGGACTGCGAGACTCCAGCCAAGCTGAAACGCTGGAAGTGGGGACTACATTGTTGATGGTGTCTGGTGGAGTGCTTGGAATACTCAGTGAGCACTAGGAAGCATCGATTGGCGGAGGCACCCAGTCGGGATGCCAGGCGCTCCACCACAATCAGGAAGGATACATTGAGATTTCTCTAATTTTTCAGTATGCAGATAATGGAATGATTGATTTATTCAGGGTACAGCTTTACAACTGTTTAACAATACCATGAGGTTCAATGTATTAAAGTTAATAAAGGGACACTATGGTCACCTAAACAACTTTAGCTTAGTAAAGCAATTTTGGGGTAAAGATCATGACACTGAAGTCTCACTGCTCAATTCTCTGTCATTTAGGAGTCAAATCACTTTGTTTATGCAGCCATAGACACACCTTCCTACATGTGATATACACAGCCTTCATAAACGCTTCCTGTAAAGAGTCATCTAATGTTTACACTTCCTTTATTGCACATGTTTCTTATCTACTGCTCTGTTAATAGCTTGCTAAACCCTGCAGGAACCTTCTATGTGTATTTACAGAGCTAGAGATACAAACTTTAACGTAAGTTACATCTTAGTTTGCATGAAAACAAAACTGGTTTCATTTTCAATGTGTCAGACACAGCCAGAGGAGGTGTAGATAGGGCAGCATGAACAGAAACAAAACTGCTTTATAGGCTAAAGTTGTTTTTGTGACTATAGTGTTCCATTAAATATTAGAACCTGTGTGCAGGTCTAAGCCAGCCCATACTCTTACGTGTCAAATATAAAAATAAGCAGCCTATTGGCAAGTGTTCTACAATATTGCCATTTTCTCTACAGTATTCCGCATTGCAAACCATTTATATGTTAAATACAGATTTGTAACTTCAAGAACATTTTCTAAAATGTTAAGACTAAAATATTAACGATAAATATACAGTTATTGTAGACAAAAGATTTAATTAAGATTTAAATACAGAAGGACGAGAAGCAAGCTTGGCATGTTGGAACACTCCATATAATATGGGAGATAATTTTCCCAAGAACCACCACGGACCCCCTACCACATTGCCATTATAATTCCACTAGGGCCAAATCACCCGGTTTACGATGGCACATGGTTTGTGCCTATAAATACAATAAAAATTATGTAATGTTGATCCCTCAGTGTGCTAAAGACAATTGCATGTAGACAGGCACAGGAACAACATAAAACTAAATATCAGAGAGATTAGTATACCAGCCTTTCCATCGCAATGCATAAAATACAGTTAACATTTTAAAGCATTATCATCTACTAAAATAACAAGTGTCTGAATATATTACATATTCACCTTTGGTATATTACAACCCCCATGTCCATAACACCCCATGTCAACACCTACATATGTTCCAGTTCAGCGTTCAATAATCTTGAATTGTTTTTCCTCCATCCTGCACCGATATGAGCCACTGTCAACTGCATCTCCCTAGTGATCACTGTTTCAAAGATACTCCATTAACGACAGACGAAGAGATACGAAAAGATGATGTAAATTAAAATTTCCTGTACTCTTTCTGGGAGAATCTCCTTGGTCAGGCAATAAGCAGGCACTGGACATGTTAAATTGACAGAGCGTCCTTTAGATTTTGTAAATCACTACTATTCTTTGGCATAAGGTGGTGTGTAATGCTCTTGGACATAGCCCTCTTTGTACAAGAAAAATGACTTCACTTTTTTTGCAAATCATTGATCCGAATGCTGTGTGAGGTCACTGCTGGGCGGTAATGTCCATTCGTATTACTGTGCAACTTAAATTGCTGGAAAATGATGTGGTAATGATGAGACAGACTCCTTAATAGCTAAAAATATGCTGTGATTATCAATGATCAAACATGAAATGGAACATGTCCATACCTGCACATGAAAGGTGGCTATAGATACACACACACACACACATATATACTCAATAAATAAGCGGTTTTGTATGGGGGCTGTATGGGGGGAGGGGGAGGTACACACCACACAACTTTGTATGACATTTTATGAATTATTTATACTGCAATGAGGATGCATTACAGCAAGGTAAATAAACTGCCCACTTTAAAACTATGAGACCACTCTCATATAAAATAAATGTGCCCTTGGCCCAATTTATATTTTGCTTATTTCTAACGAATTGAAATGCATTCAAAATCTTTATCTTCTGTCTGTTAACAGACACATACAGTTATAGCCATTGGCTAAAATTAATTCATGTGAGGACTTCTGGCACAGGATTCAATGTGAATAGAACAAATACAGAATATGATTAATGGACTTTCATGACGATCTCACATATACAAACATTCATGAGCTGCAGTAATCATAAATAAAGTGACGCAACCCCCTTACCCCCACTAGCAGAGGATTTTAAAATGTTATTATATACACTAAAACTGCATAACACATGACAATATTATATACACATATACACACACACACACACACACACACTATATATATACATAAATACATACACACATGCACAAATGAACTCACTCGCTCGCTCTACAGTGCATATCTACCTGGCCCCTGAAGGGATTGTAAAGCACTGGTAGAACACTACACCTTGAATTATATACATTTATCCGGTAAAGAAGTATGGAAGGAGTAATTAAGTTTTGGTGATGATTAATTTTAATGCATGTCTTACACTACTTTTATAGTTCCCTCAAACACTGTATCAGTGCTATTGAAACTATAAACAGCCATTAAAACACTAATCAACAAAGCACATTATGTAAAAAGACAATCACATTTAAGTCGTGGTTGTTCGCCTTCTGAAAGCTTGTTAAACTCTATAGTGCCTGTTGGGGCAGGAATACCTTGATGTCTTGGTAATAGTTCCTTATGTCCTAGAAAATGACATAACCTGCTTTAAAAAAAAAAAAAGTAACACAAACACATTTCCTGTGACTCTCTTATACTCTAAGGCACTTTCCTCTATAAATCTTTATTTATTTTTTTTAATACAATACTATAAACAAAGCATGCAGTGTAAGGAACCCTCTAAACTATAGTACTGTAGTAAAATTCTCTCATTAAATAAACTATTCTCATTTCCCCCAATTCTAAAACTTACAGAAGGTCCAGCGTAAGACAACTATCCCGTTTTGGTAATTTGTAGCAGTGGTGTACTTGCTCTGGATCTGAATAGAATGGGACTTTTTAGAACTTTTGCAAGGAGGGAGGAAGCAACAAACAATTTTCTTCCTACACGCTCTATAGAATGCCAAGCACACTGGACAGAACAATGGAGAAACTGAGCAGATATAAAGGGAAAGCACAATAAAGTAAAAACCCTAGCAAGAGAATCCTTAAAAGGTCAATTATTTTATTCTTTAGGTTACAGTTAGACTGTGGTTCAGCACTAAAATATATAAAATCTCTGAGATCATTACAGTTTTAAATTCACAGAATATCAATATCCTGGATACATTTATGTAGCTGCT